CTGAAGTAGCATTGATTTTTTTTTTTTTACAATTTCATGTTATAGAATTAGCCTACTACAGGCCTGTTTTTCACACATTTCATGTAAAACATTTCAAATAAAGCAACTACTCATTCATTTCTGAAAATACTGTCTGACACATACAGGCTAGAAAGTGTAAAACAACCGTGTTTCTAATGTGTTTAGGTTTCTGTACACTGGAGGCAGTTTTCAATTTGAACAATCTGAATCATGATGTTTTTAATCAGTCGTTTCAATAGCAGACTATTCCTGAAAGCCCTTTTCTTTTACAGGCCGTATGGGACCCAAACATGTGAATAATATCTTTTTCACTGATACAAGTTGGTAAACTGACTTCAATCTGATACATTTCTTTCTCTTGTCTTCTCAATTTGAAAAGGTATTGACATCAATGAATGGCATTGAGCAAATAATCTAAGGGGCATTTCTGCAGCTATAGCCCACAGTTTCTCCCGAATCAGATGATGTTTTCTAGCTGTCACATGAACACTGTGTGCAAACAGTGTGATAGAGAGAGAGTCAGACAGAAGAGAGAAAGAGAGGAAAGAGAAAGACAGAGAGAAAGGAGAGAGACCCCAGGCCCTTCTGCTGCATGCCTCTCCAGGAACCTTCTCAGTCAAACTGTTTGCTCATAGCCTCTGGTGCTGAGTCCCATGGCCAGTGGCTTGTGATGGAGCCCCCCCCCCATCCTCCATCTCAACCCTTATATACATTGTGAATACCTCTGGCAGTTTGATCGGCAACAGAGGTTGAGGGGAGGATGGAAACAAAATCAAGAACAACAAAGTCTGACATGAATACAGGCTGGCCACAGCTCACTGGTGGAAACACTACACCATTTTCTACTAGATCTGCAGCCCACAGCACACAGATGGAAAGTGGACTGGGAGAGAGGGAGAGGACAGACGGGCAGACGCACAAACAGCGGGCAGACTCAACACCTCACTCACAATCACAGTCACACTACAGAGAGCTGGGATATAGACCTGGAGGAGCTTTTATGATGCCATTATTATTTAAAATGACTGAGTTTTTAAAAATAAATATTGATTGCCAGAGATTTTGAGAGTGTGTCCATTGAAAGGGTAAAAAGAAGCAATGTTTATTATGCTGTTTGAACTGCACAAGCATGAAGATGACAGCATGGCTTTAAACTCATACCTGACCCTAAAGGGGGCGAAGTCAACCTAAAACTGCACATACCAAATAAACACGACAAACTGTACCTTGGTGTTATGTAAAGTAGTTTGAAAACTTGTGCTCCAGCTAAAAGATGACTCGCATGAGGCGCTGCAGCGTTCATGCTGCTAGAGCTAAGCCCTAACAGCAGAGAGGAAGACAACTTTGAACTGCAAGTCAGAGCCCTGCGGTGGGCCGGGGCAGCTTCCAGAGACGGGAGGGGGCTGGGTCACTTCCCTTCCCTGTTCATATGGCTGCTGTGTGTGCTGCAGAATAATGGGAGGAATCACATCCCCCCCCAGCTGTCCTTGTTCAGGCTTCTCAGACAAACAGAAAAACAACGATATCGCAGACCAGACCTCCTTCCTGCGGCTCAGGAGGCCACGGGGTCTCCAGCTGCAGGAGATCTTCCTTCCAGCAGCTACTGGACTTTTAGACTCCGTGCTCGCAGTAGGAGATGTGACACCCAAGTCTCACAGCTGTATTTACTACACCAGCCATTGATAAACACTTTTCTATTGACTACACGTCCTTCTATATTGGGTAGTATAAAAGGAGGCTGCATTAAATGTTCCAAACGCCTATTTTAGTGCTTGGTAACAACAGTATAAACAGTTTCATCACACAGAGCTTACCAGACTTTGAAGAAAGTTTACTTTGCACATAATTCAATTGTTTGTTCCTGATGCTTCTACTTAATCGACAGTATACAAAGCCCGAGAAGTTAAATCTCCAGTGAGCGATGCTTTTTAAGATCTACAGTAGAACATCAGGAATTCAATACAGTGGGGTATATTAGCAATCATGGGAGATCTTTTGATCTAGTAAATTAGATTATAATATATTCCTTTGATTTATGTTTTTTTTTTCAGAGTCTCATTAAAATTCAGTTAAAATGCAATTCAGCAAAGAGATGTCTTTCTTAACTTCCTTTCAACTATCAGTTTTGCTCCTTACACGTTTTACTATAACATCTCCACAGTATTAAGTAGCAACACAGTCACTCACTATAATTCTGTTTCATGCAGGCAAATGTCTATTTTGTGTAAACAACAATAAGAAAACATACAGTGACTAATCAAACCACAGGACACACATTCAAGTTATCTGCCCAATTAATGTGTTTTGAGATGGTGCACAGTGCAATGCTGTGGTTTGTATTGCACTCCAAAAGCCAAAGAAGCAAGATGAGGCACCTCAGAAAGGTGCGAAATGACTTTATTTCTCAAAGTCGTCGTCACCTTTCCCCCACCGCATGCTTCCACAGTCTACCCTCCCCAAACCACATATGTGCATGTGTCATTTATGATCGTTAGAGAACATGTACTGATTTAAATAAATTTAAAAAAATAGGATGATACTACTGTTGTTTGAATTGATAGTCACAGTGACCAGTGCAGTGAGAGAGAGGCGAGGATCATAGTGACGAAAGCAGATCAGCAGCGGCTTTAGAGAGCGGCTCTGATTTGCGCTGTTCCTGCTGCTTCTGCTGTGTGGTCCAGGTTGAAGAGGTGAAGAGACCTCCAGTCAGGCCTGATTTGGAAGAGCAGCAAAGACAGGAAAAGACAGTGCGGACTTAAGCTGCTCTGCCCTGCTCAGCAGCACATGTGCTGAGTGAGCCAAACAGGGTGGCTTACCAGCAGAGGTCTCAGTCAAGGGCAGGACAGTTGAAAGGTCACTGCTCTCTGTCTTGCTATACAAACAGTGCCTCAGTGAGTAACACATTCACCCTCTGAGCTTACCTCAGGCTATTAGAGGGCCTGAACAATACTGGATATTATTCTGACAGGCACTGTTGTTCAGTTGTGTAATCTAAGAGCCATATTTTCTATTATTGCTTTTATCATTTATAGATATTTGAAAAGAGAAAAGTGCCTTAATTTGTAAGTGATAACCAAGTGATTTACTACTATTCCTAGTAAATTTAGAGTACAATATGAATGGTATTTTAAAACTATTAAATAGTTTGCAGTGTATTTGAATGTTTAAATAAAAATGTCATAAACTTTGAATCAACCCCACCATGTCAAATGACAAGTAAGATTCAGCAAGTTGATGTCACTGACACCCGAGGGCTGGTTCACACCCGGAACAAAGACTCATGATCACAGCACATGAAGATCTTGTGTAAAACAGGCAGCGCTTGAACACACACACACACACACACACACACACACACACACACACACACACACACACACACACACACACACACACACACACACACACACACACACACACACACACACACACACACACACACACACACAACACACACACACACACACACACACACACACACACACACACACACACACACACACACACACACACCACACACACACACACACACACACACACACACACACACACACACACACACACACACACCACACACACACACACACACACACACACACACACACACACACACACACACACACACACACACACACACACACACACACACACACACACACACACACACACACACACACACACACACACACACACACACACACACACACACACACAGACAGAGAGAGAGAGAAGGTCAGGATGGACCCAAAATCTCTTTGCAGTGAAGTAGTGCTAACCAAAGGCCAACAGTGATCTATAAAGCTTAGAACTAACCTAGAAAGAATAACATATTTATATATATATATATATTGTAAAGTGGCTCTTAAATTGAAATCAAATGATGTATAGTTTTTGTTTTAAATAAAACATGTCTGATAGTTGGTTTTCTGAACACCAACAGCCAAGTAATTGTTTGTAAAAGCCTTTTCTTTTCAGTCTACAGTACAGGGGACGGTACACAGTTAACTGCGCTCGAACACATTATCTGCCAGGCTCAAGATTCTGCATCTAACCTCCAGGTCTCACAGGAAAACGCTGGAATCTCCATATTGATGATAGAGCTCCAATAAACAATGAATCATCTTACTAAGGTGCTTTTGTTAGTCAAACAGACATGGAACAGTTACAATGTGATTGAGGATTGCCAATCTTTTTAGTGGTCTTTAAAACATATCTTGCATTTAAAATTAACTGCACAATGAAAAATGTAAGTCTATATTGAATAAATAAGCGTTTGGATGTTTCAGTACCTTATTGTAGCCAGTTTCAACAATCATGTAATTATTGTGCACTTTACTAGATAGCTCATCACTACTTTTAAATAATTTCAAAGATTTTCCTAAAATAACATTTCTGTTAAATCATAATCTGATTGAACAACTTAACGTTATTAAACCCATGGCCCTCCAATGAAAGCCCTTACACTTTCAGTATTATGAACCAGGTGTGTGTGCGACATTCCTGAGAAAAATCACAATCTGTACAGAGAGAGCGACACGTTTTCATGTAGAGCTGTACAGCAGTCTGGCAAATAGGGTAGGTGGAGCTAACGCAACCCTCTTGAACTCACTTGCGTGTGAGTAGCGTATTGTTTTTCCAGGCTCTGCTAGCGTTGCGAGTAAACGGTAACTAAGGCCAAACAAACAACAAAATAGCAATGACCATCTCTGACAAGTAAGCTACAAAATATAACCTGTAATTACTACTTACCACGATAGGTGTCACCAAAGAGAAACGATTTTAACTTTAAAGCTTTGAAAATACAACCAGCCCTGTATTGATACCAATTTAATATAAAACATAAAAGCCAAATGATTTAAAAATTGTATTCGCAGTCATTTAAAATAATTAAATATAGAAAACAATTCTAAAACAACTGTGACTACAATTGCTGTATTGTTTAAGCTCAATATGCAGTATAACAAAATAGCTTGGCTTACCAAACAATCAAAGAAACACTATCCTCTTTATTGGACCAAGAATGCTCAGCTTCTGCCTCGTATTTTTCACTCAGTACATCCTTGGCTTTCAGCTTTTTGGTGTTTTTGTCCTTCTTGAAAAAAATGTCCTGGGAGGAGGAGAGTGGAGGAGAAAGACTTTCACTCAGTGATTCAGAGGCATCGTGTAAACGCCAGCATTCTCTTTCTGACAACCAGCGTTAATTGCAGATCCGACTCGCCCACACACTCCACATTTCTCCTGGAAGGAGAAGCTGAGACACTGAGATTGAAGTGGGATGAGGAGTGCAGTAAAAGATGCTGCAGCTGCCCGTTCCTCACACCGTCACCACCTCTCATTTCTCCCTTTCCACTGACAACTTGTGTGAGGACGCTAACACGCACTTACTCACATTTACAGAGACATGCAGGGGCACACAACCATAACATGTAACAAGGCTAAAACATTTAGCAGTGGAAGTAATCGTGGAATATCTATTTTATTTACTACAACTAAATGACACTGGAATCGAGCAGGCATATTATCAAACCGTGTTTGCGTAATGGAAAAGGTAAAAGATACGGGGTCTATGAGGTTAGTTCACCACATGCATGAGAGACATATTTGTGATAGCTCTATCTGTGCCTTCACAGACATCATATTCATTCCTTTGACTAATACACAACATAAATTGTTAAAATGATATTCATTTCAGCAGCGTTGAAAGGATCCCTCATCCACACATTAGACATAAGAGCTCACGTGATGTGGATCATGAGCAACAAGGCCCATTACTGGCGAGGCCTGGGGCAGCACACAAGCTAATGACTGCAGATTGAAGGGTGCTTTACTGCTTTGCTTTAGAAATCACTGGCAACCAGCTGGTATGGTAATGCACACGCCGTAAGTACAGCAGTAACATTAAATGGACAGTGAAAAAGTATGCTTCAATACTCCTGCAACAACTCTTGTCCATGAAGAAATACTTTAACAATAAAAAACGTGTCATTGGTCCATCCTGGTAACTGAGGGATATACTTTAAGAACTAAAATATTAAGGCAAAGTAATATTTGTTCATGTATATTAGAGAAAACAATACAACAAATAGATTGCTTCTAAGGATGCTTATACATGGTTGGAATTTGCTGATTTACAAAATATGCTGGATTTTAACCAAGCAATGACACATTTTTTAAATAACTCGTATATTTGGTTGTAAACGAGGATTAAATAGAGCACAATTTTCAGCTCATAGTATTTTCTGCTCCAACTAAATAAAATCCATTCCTTCCGTACAATATTAATGAGATGTGCCGATGTAGGTATAGACTAGAAAACATTTGAGAAGGTCAGGTTACTGTTGGCCATTGCCCACTCTGGCGAGGGGTTAAGGTCACAGAGATTCAAAGAACCACAGCTAAGATCCTCTCTCACAAGCTCATGCACCAAACTGAGCAAAAAATAATATGTGAAATATAATCACTTTAAATAATAAAAAGTGTGATATAAAAGTAGTCTATAAAGACAACAATTACCTCTAAAACATGTTAGCTTTAACCCCCATAATCTCTCCTAAATATAGTAATGACTAACCTAGAGAGCTTTACTTATCATCAGGAAATATACCATGAGGTACAAGGACCTCAATTACTGTATGTCATGTTAAAGTGCCAAAATAAACTGAGTTTAGGCTTGCTGTCATTTAACTTGTGCTTGGCAAAAAGTATCCTCTTGTCGAATTGAGTGTGTAAATATAAAGACAACACCAATAACAACATGAATGTCACCGTGCACGGGCTGAACGGCACCATATAGATTGCAGTACCAGAATTAGGCAAATGTTGAAAACTGGCAAGCTTCAGCGCCAAAAAAACAATTCTCTCAATATTTAAAAGTAAGTAAGCTACCTTACATAGCTAAACATAGCTAAAAACCTTATATAATATCAGCACTTCTACCGGGTTATTCACTGTTAACTATCTGCTGTTGTGTTGATTGCTCAACAGTGTTATGATTACTATGTTTCCCAAACGTTGCGCCTGTTTTACAAAGTACAGTATGACATGTCAAACTTTCGATCCCAGGTTTAACTGCGACTGAGTGTTTTAACACTCTTAATACACGAATAAACACTCAAGAAGCACATACAGTAAGACTTGTTCCCGGCGCAATATTGTTGACGATGAATCCTGTAAAAGTTTCTCGCAATGACTGATATCAACAGCGCGCGTCTGACTGCACCCTTTAAATCCACACTTGGACGTTTCGCGGCATCAAAACCTTACTGATAATCAACATGACTGATGTTAAGTCACTCGATACTGGTTTTAAACTGTGTATGTTGAATTCTGAGCGTACCCAGGGGCAGACAGATAAACAGATAGATAGATATCTACAGTTCACGTCTCCGTTTCCAAAATCCTCTCTACGTCTCCCTCTTGCGCTTTTCTACTCTCACTCACTGTATCGCCGCCACACTCCGCAACATTGTTTCTATTTCCGTTACTCACCTTTACTCCCAAGTCAGTCGCCGTGTATAGACACTCTATATCGGTGGCTCCAGTGGATAAACGTAATTTCAGTTCACATTTACACGCTGACTGCTATTTTAGGGGGAGCTGACAAACTCAGAAAAGCCTGTCTCCCTCTTGTCAGCGAGAGACTCCTCCCCTTTTCTGACGAACTGCCTCCCTCTCTCTCCCTCTCTCTCCCTCTCTCTCCCCCTCTCTCTCTCCCTCTCTCTCCCACACAAACACACACACGCACGCACTCATACACACACAAACAGCCGCAAAACATTAAAATAAATAAGTATTAAAAGTCTCTGTTTATCCACTACATGTTGTATTGTGTTATATCTTTCTGATTATGACTCTTTTAACTAATTATTGTTTTCAATGTTATTGCTGTTGTTTAACGGTTGTTTTACTCTTTAAACAACTTTCTACTTAAAAGTCTTTAAAGTGAGTCAGTTAAAGCATAAAACAGACCAAACGTATGGAAACTAACAAAACAAAAGTACAACTTTCTAAATGAGAGAACATAATTACTGAAGTACAATCTGTTTTTCTTCAAGAATGACTTTATATTTTGACTACTTTCCCAAATTACTCGGCTCGGCCTCATCACATTAGGTGCCTTTGACGTCATATCTCTAAGACAACAGCAATGGAATTTGGTGTAAAGGGCACTCCTCGCAGCCAATGAGAATCTGCAGCGTCTGTTGATCAGCCAATTAGAGGAGGAGGCGGGACCTGGTGGACTCGCATATGAGCATGTCACGTGTACGTGCAGGATCACAGGAGGTGTGGTGCGTGGCCTATACGGCTGTTTTTACTGGCGTTTGGAAGCAGGTGTGTTAAAATTGACCACAAGAATAATCAACTGTTTTTATTATATTGATATATAGTATCAACAACAAATATGACAAAAAAAACACTGTGTTATATTGTCTTCATAATTAGTTATTTTTCTTTTGATACATTTTGCAGATAATTATTAAGTTTACTGAAGTAACATTTCAAATGCAGGACTTTTATTTTTTGTGAACTATACCCACATCATAATATTATTTAGAATTACCATTCAAAGCAATCTGACTTCCCTGCAAACAGAATCCGTGATTTGCCCAGCTAAATAAAACAGTGTGTGATTATTTTGACATCCTCCTCTAATGGCATCCTGTTTTATCGCATGCTCACTAATGAAGGGACAGGCTTTTCACAAGCATGGCTGCATGCTGTTGTGTGTAGCTCATTTGTATTAGTCTAGTATAGCCTGGCCCCTAGTGTATTGTGCTACCTTTTTCACCAGTTAGTCCCGGTCCCATAGGAGAAGGCTGTGTCTGGTCTTCCTCATCCCTACTGTTTCCTCAGGGCTCTAGGCCAAGGAGTCTCAACTGTCCTTAATGACTTTTAATTCACATTCAACACAGTACCTGTGTAGCCAATAAAAGCACAATATTTATTAAATGAAATGCCCAATTCACAACAAACTTTTTTTCAAATGTATTCCACTAGATTGTGCCCATGGCTATTTGCCATGCACGGTTCAGGATAAATGACTCTTCCTGCAGTTTGCCTAAGCCTCCACTTCTGTTTTACTTTGCAAACTCAGGTTCCAAAAGAAAAAACAAAACACCTGCCAGGTTTTTAACAGGCTGGTTGAGACATAAGATTCACTTTGCCCATTATAATCTCCTGAGGATAACTGAACAATACAAGTAAAACAAGTATGCATCACACATGCATGCCCATTTAAAGTATCAAAAAGGCATTGTTATTGTTCTTATTGTTATCACAGTGATGCTTGATTTTGTAGTACTCCCTTCTGCTTCTCACACCCACACCAGTCCAGCCACATTGTAGGGCAATGTAGTCCTTTTATTTGTTGGTTTGATAGCTTTGGAATAAAATGTGTTGTCTATGTTTCAGTTTATGGTGTATTCACCACTACCAAATTGAAGATTTTGCAACTTTTCATTGAGAATATACTTTTTTTAAATCATATCTGTAATGCATATGGTAATTATATTGTGTTAAAATTATGGCGAATTAATTGCCTTTTTTTATTCTGAAGGGCTCAAATTGCATTCCTTGGCAAAAAACACTTTGTGCTGTAAAAATTAACTATCCCAAATGTACCACAAAATGTTGAATACTGTAAGATGAAAATTATTTTTAATAAAACAACTGTGTTGTGTGTTTATGTTTTGTTGCTCTTTCCTCTGCATTGCGAGGAATGACAGTCACGATAAGTAAAGAAGCAGTCCCCAGCTGGTTTCTTGGAGTGTTTTCAATCAGTAAAGTTTCTGCTGTGCAACCTTTGTTAGTGAGTTCAGGCTGATGTCAACAGACAACAGGGTGGATCCAAATTGCTCTCAGCATCTCTTTTGGCTGCACTTTTCTGTCAACATTCAGGCCTCCCATCTTCCCAAAGTGATAACAGCACCAAATAACAACAATGTCAGCAAAAACACAAAAACACACAGTATTTACATCAGTTTGTTAAGTTTCACTTCAACATAATGTGTAGAATAAGATAATTTCTCAAATCCACAATCACATAAGAGATACAACTTTGCATTGCATTCCGTTTTTTTTTTACTGAGCCTCTCCCAAAGTGTTAATTTGCATCACATTTCCGTCATGCACAAGGAGTCAGACCCGTCCTGACATCTGTGTCTCACCTGTTTGCTGTTGTTGCACAAACACCTTCACAGAACCTGCTGTTCCAATCGCCACTTCTCCACTCTACAAGTTTTGGCTTTCTTTATGTCTTCCCTTCTTTCTGTCTACAACACTTCCTCTTCTTTCGGCTGCCTTTGTTCCCCTCTGCCCATTGATTTACCTCAAAGCCAGACCAGCTGGCTTTGGATGCTTCCCTCAGAGCCCTAAGAGGCCGTCTTCACACGCTGTTCCTCCTCTTGTCCCTTGGTCTCTCTGCAGGCAGAGAGCAGGGGTGGCAGTGGTTTGAAAGGTAGGACCCCAGATGGACATAGACATGTCGGGCATGCGTTATGTGACAGGGCTTGGCTCACGGCTCTCTGGACCAGCCACAGCTGTCAGTCATAACTCCAGAAGGTGTTGAAGATTTTTCCTTCCTCCCACAGACGGCTGGGAGGAATGTAAAAGTGTAATTTTCTACAATATAGCACAACGTTTTAAAGAAATAATGCTTACATGTTTATGTGTGATTCTTGTTGGTTTGCAGTACATAATTAGATTTTTGAATTTTGAATTTTGAATTAAATGTATAAGTTGTTTGTTTTTTAAACAATGTCGAAAAACTTATTTTGTATAACATAAAAAGTGATGCATTTCAACAAGTTGCAGGGACATGCCAAATAACGGTTTGTTCCAGCAAGGCTTTGATGCTCGACAGCTGGCATTTTCAACATTGCACCAGACCACAAATAGACCCAGACACTCTTTCTCTCCAATTAAAAAAGCGACTAAAACACGCGCCTCATGCAGAGAGCTTTATTAGGCTATATAAGTCAAGTTTGATCTACAGAGCAATAGTGAGGAAAGAAATACATGTTTATTTTTTAAATGAGAGAGGCACAAACAGATCACTGAGTCACAATTTCCTCAGACAATCTGACCACCAAGCATTAAAATAACACTCAATTATCTGAAGCTCATTAAAACAGCCTTCCTGAAAAGCATACAACACCATTCAACAATCCCTGGTCCTCCACTGTTAAACTCTGATATACCTGACTGCGGTTTCAGTGACTTTTGAGTTAACGTCGCTGAAATATAAAGATATAGTCTGCAGTGTGAGTTACATACATAACCAATAGTTCGGATAACAAACAAATAATCAAGTAGTTGTAAAAATAAATGAAGTTGAAAGGGGTTGTTACAGTAAACTGCTTAAGCATGAGTTGAATGATTTAATTGATCATTTAAAACAGCTAAAACCCTCCATCCACAGTGATTTTAATCATATTAATGGCACAAAACTCTCTCAACAAAGTCTGAGGAGACCGCAGCGTTGTGTTAGATAATCAAGTTCAAGATCTAAAAATACTCTGTGTCTCACAGTTTGGATCTCTTCTCTCATTACCCACTGTAATTAAAAGTAACCAAGGCCTGCCGGCTCCAAATAGCAAAGAATAGCACACAACTGTTAATGTGAGGGAATGACACTTGAAATGAAAACCCTCATGATATCAGTTAGCTAAAGAAAGTGGAGCAGATAACACGGGGATATGAGATCTCGTGTGAATGTGGGACTCACGAGAAGTGTCCAGTTAGGTTGGTCAGTCAATTGCAGGCAAACTTTCATACAATGCGGTTTCTGTGTATTTGTTATACAGGTTTAATGATAGGAACGACTTGTCAAGTGTTCTGTGATGTTTCTCATCTTGTTTATGTGAATCTCACTTCTGTTCAACTTTGACACTCTGCAGTAGGTTTTATGAAGCGTCTGTGCTCTTCCTGAGGCAGAGAACGACAGCATACAAAGGTCCTTTATGATGAGCTGATGATCTCTCTTGAGATTACAGTCTCTTGGGTTTCCTAAAGTATTCTTCTCTGTTTATCACACCGCTGAATGCTTATCAACTGCAAGGTGGTGTAGCTTGCTTGATGGGCCCCCTTTTTTTTCCCTGCAGATGTACAGAAATCCAAGCTCTTTAATTATCTCCAATATTCACATGAGCCTATAGCTCCATTTATAAAAATGTAGTCTCCGTCGTACTGAGCTCATTAAAAATTGAACAAGGTCAGGAATGAAACTGCTCTTACCATTACTCATTTTGTCCCTAATTTCAAGTATTACTTAATTAATCACCTGGAATGACTCAAATAATTCACAATGTCATGAGCTGCTGGAAGATATTAGCAGCTTCCATACCTACAAACATACATTTCTTAGTGAGCTAAATGGGACACTCTTAATTTTAAAAGTAATAGCCCTCTGTACATTTCTGTGATTATACAAAATAATTTTTTTTAAATAAAGCCTTTGACTTTTAGTGGATAAAACGTTGATGTTCTGTGAGGCGTTATGATCATTATGTACGAAGCATTCACTCTCAATTTCACAGATTTTCTGACTTGATGATTGCATCATGCAAAAACCTTGTTGCGAGTGTACGTGTGAGTTTCTGACATCGTCAAAGCCAGTCAGCAGGTGCCATCACTTCTCA